CACTCTGCAACAGATTGACAGCATGATAGCCTTAACAGTTCTATCTTGTAGAACTCTTTCTCATTTCTCAGAATGTTTTACAGTATTTCTTAGTGTAATAACATCATCTTAAAACCTCAGCTTTTAAAAAGGTTTTGAGAGAAAAAAATCCTGCAACAAAAATAGAAAATTGTAACATGTTTTATGGCAACAGTTTTAAATGAAACTCTTTCAGCATTAAAAATCCATTAAAAGTTAAACGAAGTCTCCCAACATAAAGACGAATATCTAGGGATTCAATTACTGAAACTGCTTGCAATCAGCTTATTTAAGTGGAAGATCCTTTTTTCAAGCTTACAAGAAAGAAGAATTTTTGAAATAAAATAGAAAAGCCAATGTCAAAGTTTCTGTACAGCACAAAGCAATAAGGCAATTTAATACAATATTAACATATGAAACAGAAATTTAACTATGCTTTTCAAAGAGCTCTTTAAAGAGAACTGGAGAAAATGGGCTGAAGATACATTCTTAGGCCTTCGTTTTAAAATTAAAGTTTCCATAGTTTCAGAGGAATAAGTTGAATAGGAAAGTTAGTTCTTGTCTATTATGCTTGTGCTTGTGGACCTAATTCCATTCAAAATTAGAAATAGAGAATATTGCCAAAATTTATCAGATCTGAAAGCAGTTTTGAATTTAGTCTTATCTGACTTACGAGCAAAGTGTGGGGGTCCTTCTCTCCTTCCTGATTAAGACGAAACTGGTAGAAATATTCAGTGTCCACTTATATTGATCCAGACCAAATTAAAATAGAGCGTTGTTGGAATCTTAGTTCACTGTTACAAGAGATCTGGAGTTCAAAGACTTGCACTACTGTACATTTACTAAGAAAATAATATCCATCATTCCATACTAGCAAAAAACTGAACAAACAAAAAAAAACCACAACAAACCCAAACAGCATTTTTTCCCAAAATGTTAATTTCTCTTGGGAAAGTTTTGCAATTAGAATTTCTTATCTTCTTAATAAAACTGAAAAATTGCTGCAACTCTTCTCACCACTCAAAAAAATCTAACATACAAATAATCATGGTAAGAATAGTTATTTTCCTGCTTTATATCATCCATGTACGTTCCTCATTCATTTCGAGGGGGACATTTTCAGCCCAGGAAAGATAACTGCAAGTCAAATTTTGCAAATTACAGGCTTGATAATGTAAACTGGTCACTTCCTTGACTAACTACTGATTGAAAAGAAGAAAGCACACATTGATTTAAATTTTCCAAGTGATGAAAAATCCTCCACTTCACGTGATAAAACCTTCCAGTGATTAAGTTCTGCCTTTACTAACAGTATTATGTCCTTTAAAGGTAGTCAGGGTTAGCATATTGCATGAAAACACAGCTGTACTGTCCATGACATAGAGTAGACAAGCTGATAATAACTTTTTTGTTCAGCTCTAGAGAATCAGTTTGCAAAATGTGTCATTTACATAGTTGAGTAAGGTGGGGGGTTACTATATATATGTATAAGCAAGTCTAATGTAGAAAACTGGGAGATTATTAGAGAAGTTTGAAATGGAGAAGTACTGACAGAAGTGGATTATGAATTTCTGGCAAAGAGCTACCTTCTTGTCTGTAAAATAAACACATCTCTGGTGTCACAGCAGAGAAGGAGGAGAAAGATAGCTGCAAAGAAAGGCACAGCTGTGAGACAGGCAGACAGAAGCGAGTAATTGCCATGTTAAATAGCAAATAGGGGCATGCCTGCTGAAAGCAATTTGAGTTCACTTGGGTGAAAAAGAAGGAAAGCACTGAGTTCATATATAACTGACACAAATTAGTAATAAGCTATTTATTCTTGCTGCTCCCATCACCTTTGACTAATACCAACCTTTCACAGTAAAGGAATGATTAAAGTCATCATGACCAAATTTAACCCAGTGACCAAGAAGTCAGCAAATGAATCCACTCTTGTGACTAAAGTCAAGAATTGCCAGTGGTACAAAATTAACCCAATCTTAATGATATTTGAGAAATGTAATTTCATGCTCCACCTCAGCTAGTTTGCCTTATTATATTTCTTTAGAATCACTGTTTCTGAACAAGGGAGAAGGCCTTTAGAAATTACAAGTGTCATCAGTGGATTAAGAGAAAGTTTAGTTTCATCCTCAACTCCTAAATGTGCTACTCCTATGCAAGAAATGTCTAAATTATGGTGACATCATGGATAAATGACAGGATAATCAGTTTCATCTGTCAATGAATAGCATATTCCTCTTTCACATTTTGCCTTTTGATTCAGAGAGCTGAGGAACTGAAAGACAAGGCAAACTCCAGACCTCTCCATCTATGGCTTGCACCAGCTGCTGAAGGTGGCCCTCTGATTAGCCTAAGGTCAATTTTTTGTCAAAACTCTGTCCCATAAAGCTCAATGGGACCATGATGTTGTACTGTATTTACACAAATAGATGTTACCGTGTGCAGATGTGGATTATCCAGGGAAACCGTGCGACATAGCAGCAGGGCTATTCTGTAGCATGTAAGTCTTAAATGGTTACGAACATGAAGCGTTGGCCACTGTTGCTGCGCAAGGACTCAGCCCCTTGTCTTGCTGAGGGGGCGATGGCCGTGGGAGCTGAGGGTACCGAAACCCCTCTATTGCAGCGTGGATCTTACAAAGCTGAAAGTTAAATATGAGCACATCACGACAGTGACAGCTCAAAGACAGGTTCATGTTCAGTGTGCCAGTTCCTCAGCCTGCGGTTGCCAATGAGGGGTACGCGTGCATTCCTGCGCCTCTGCATGGTTTGCTTCTCTGCATATTCATAGAATCCCGGACCGGTTTGGGTTGGAAGGGACCTTAAAGCCCATCCAATTCCAACCCCTGCCACAGGCAAGGACACCTTCCACTGGACCAGGCTGCTCCAAGCCCCATCCAACCTGGCCTTGAACACTGCCGGGGTGGAGCAGCCACAGCTTCTCCGGGCAACCTGTGCCAGGGCCTCAGCCCCCTCACAGGGAAGAACTTAATGTTCCATCTCAACCGCCCTGCAGCGTGCCGCTTGACCGAAGCGTGGTGTCAGCACACCGGCCACTTGCCGGTTAATCACGGCTCTCACGGGTCGCACCCAGGCTCACAGCCTCTCTCCCTGCAGCAGGATGCTCTGACAGGCTGCCGGCTGCACGCAGCACCCATTACGCTTCATCTGAAAGCAACATCGATCTTTTCGAAGTGAGAATTAAACTCGCACTGTCAAAGCTCTCCTCCTCGCCATGGCGTCTCTGGCGCGCATGTGCAGTGGGCGCCCTACAGCAGCTACAGTGGGAGCGGCGCTGCCTCATGTAGCTCTTGTGCTACTGCGGCTGGTTGGTGTTGGTGTTGGTGTTGGTGTTGGTCTTGCTCTTGCTCTGGCTCTGCTTTAGGCCCTTCCTTCCAGTTCCCCAAGGGTCGCCTGGTGCCGGCGGCTGGTGCTGGGGTAGGTGGATTCTGGGCGATGGTGGGCCGGCGGGAGCAGTTACCACAGCGGGGCTCGGCCTCCCTCCGCTCTGCCGAGCCCGAGTGTCGGGCCTGGTGCAGCCTCCTCACGCCATGGAGCTCATGGAGTCTTAGAACGTGCTGCTGTGGTGATGCTTCTGGCACAGTGGGCACCCTGGTGTAGGGCTTCTTCCTTTCGGGGGGGGGATGACGACGGTGCAGGGAGAGGGCTCTTGTGTGGGAGGTGTGACCCAGAACATATTTGCTCAGGTAGAATGAGGGGAGCCTGAACAAGAAATGGCTCTGCATCAGGCCGTGGTCAGAAGGGTAACAAAAGGACAGCTGTTGGAGTAGGGAGGGCTGGAAGCTTCTGACTTAGAGTAACAGGAGGAAGCCCCATGTCTGCAGAGCTGTAACTGCAGAATAGATAACCTTGCCTGGTGAGGATGAACAAGACCTATCAGAGGATGTATCAGAGCCAGCTGTCACCAACCTGAGCATCCCTGTGCTGGGGGAAAAAGGCAGGTGATAGCTATAGGAGACAGAGGCAGCAGTGCTCATGGGATGCCTTGGAATGTTTAGTGGTGGACTTGACAGTGCTGGAGAATGGTTGGATTTGGTCTTGAAGGCCTTTTCCAATCTAGCTGATCCTGTCATTTGGTCCTTGCCAGGGTTTGGGTTTGGGATTTTGCAGACACTGCCAAGGCTTGTCTAGCCCTTGCTCTATTAGCACTTTTCTCTCTTCTATGTGAGCACCATTTAATTCCACTGGAGATAATCTGCAGTGGGTCAAGAGTTTGTAGGGTGAAGCACAGGGAGACCAATTGGTGGCCTCTATCCTTCCAGTGAATAGGAAAGGCTCAAACAGCAGTGGACTCCTCCAGGCAACATTGGCTATAGTCACAGGCAGGGCATTGCCTTCTGTAACCGTGAGATCCCCCGAGGTCAGGCAGCCTCACTTCAGTCCCTGGGAAGGTGAGGGAGATGTTCTAAACACATGAAAGGCAAGATTATTACTAGAAGCAGCCAGTATGAATTTAGTTTTAAGCAGGGCAAATCTGGTAAATCTTGCCTGACAAACCGTTTGCTTTCTGTGACAAGGTGGTTGATGCTGTAGAGGAGGGGAGAGTAGGGGATGTCCTGTGCTGAAGCTGTAGTAAAGTCTTTGCCACATCCCATGAGCTTATCAGCAAGTTGGTGAGATGCAGACTGAATCAATAGGCAACAAAGATGGAAAGTTGACCAGACTGTGGTACTTCCCAGAGTCAGTGGTGTAAAGTCTAGCCAGTGGCCAGTAGCTAGTAGCATACCCCTGTGATAGATTCTGTGACCAGTTCCAGTTAATCTCTTCATTAATGACCTGAATGATGGGATGGGAGTACCTTCTCAGAAAGTTGTGGATGACACTCGAACTTAGGGTGCAGGGGAAGATGTGTTTAGCAGGGCAGGCTGGAAAACAGGGTAGATGGGAACATGCGAAGTTCAGTAAAAGTCAGTGTGAAGTCTTGCATCTGCATAAAATAGTCATATGTAACATTACAGGCTGGGGTCTCTCTGATGAGGAAGAGGATCCACCTCTGCAGATGTGGGTCTGGAGGTCTTCGTAGGCAGCAAGTGGACCATGGGCCGACAACAACATGTCCTTGCAGCAAAGGCCAGCTGCATCCTGGGGTGTATTAATAAGAAAGGTAGATATTTTTCCTGTTTCCTTGAATAAATTGCAAGTGTGGTTGCCATTGTAAAATGTTTTGAGGACAGCTAACTGCTTATATCTAGTCATTAGCCAAACCCAGAAAAGTCATCCATTCCCTATATTTGGCACTTGTGAGACTGCATGTGAAATACTGTGTCTGGTTTTGGGCTCCTCTGTAAAAAAGGATATTGGCATGCTGGAGCTCCAGTGGGCCAACAGGGTGGTCAGGAGCCTGAAACATGGTGAATGAAGAGAAGCTGAGTTAGCTGGGCTCACTCAGCCTTAAGAAGAAGATGTTTCAGTGGGACCTTACTGGTTGTCTGCAACTCTTGTTACCCTGGGAGGCTGCGGAATCTCCATCACTGGAGATGTTCAAAACCTGTCTGGCCATGACCCTGAGTAACCCAATGTAATTAGGCACGGACTAAACTTTTTGAGGTCCGTTCCAACCTAAATTTGGCTATGTTTTGCAGTCCTCCAGGCTACTTTGAGGAGAAGGACAAGGCCTGACCATTTATTCAAAAGCTATCACAGACCTCGTGGAGGGGTAAAAGCAGGGAACTTATGAAGTAAAGCACTTTGGCAGACTAGATCATAGCACATATGAATTAAGGGTGGGATGAAGACTATAATTTTGACTTTGTAGGCTAGATACGCTTTTAATGTGAGTATGTGTGAACTGAAGCAAGTGAGGAGCAGTTAATTTCTTAAAGTTGTTTTTAGTTTCATATTAATTCTCTTGCATTGACTCTTATAAATGAACATATGTAATTCTTGTTACTTTTAGATCAGTCTGATTTTGCCCAGTCTGCTTATTGACTTTCACACCTGCAGAGAGAAGAAATTTAAGAAGCTTTTTGTAATCTGAAATGTGCATTAGTTACTTGTAATTATGTACCCAGCATAGTGAATTAACCCACCTTTATCATGCTCTCTTCTGCCTTAATTGGTTACCGAATAATTTTCAAGCCAGTTAAATTCTTGACCCTCTTAAATTTTCCCAGACCATTTTTTTTCCCCCTTCTCCTTTGCTTCAGAACTTCCTACCTTCTGTTGAACTGGCAATTAATCATAACAACTCTGTTGGCAGTCAATTGCTTTCTCTTTATAGAACACACCGTATGTCTCTTGCTCACAGTTCCTTAGTTTTTGGATACGTTAAAAATAAAGCCAGTTGAAAATAGCTAAGGATTTTAGCTAGAAGCTGCTTTTGGAGTTCTCTGTGTGATAGAGTACTTTGCAAGTCAAAAAAGATTGCACTGTTACAAGAAAAAGCATGAACAGTAACCTTTACAAATTCTTTATCAGTAAGAATAGACTCCCCATAGACATACAGTTTTGACTTGAATTTCCCTTGGATATTTCAGCAATGCTTCTCATCTGAAATTGGACTAAGAGCCTGGACTCAGAGCATAAGTGCTACTCAAAATGGAGTTCAGCATGCGTATTAATCACTTATGCAAGCCCAATGGGAGATAGTAGGGCTTCAGCCTGTGCTTAAATCTATAAACAGTGAAGAGAATCCTTGTTTGCCATGCTTGGTGCTTTTCTTTCCTCAAGAGCTCTTAAGATCCAGTTGACTTGACAGGGTATATTGTCCTATAAATGGAAGAGATCTCTCCCATGTGATGGGATGCAGTCAACATGAGATGCGCATTGAGCAATGCAGAAAGCAAAAACATGGAGGCAGTGTCCAAAAATGGGAGTTAAGGAACAGAGACGGGGTTCTGGGAAAACTGTCTCTGGACTCCATCACTAAGGTTCACTCCTTCTCCCTGTCACCTTACAAGAGGTAGTAGCCTTCCCATTTGGGAAGGAGGTAAGATGCACTTGTCATCCTACTTGCAGTGTTACAGGGAGAGCTGCAGAGGGAAACACATCCCAGACCCTGGAGACCTGGGGGAAAGGCTGGAGCAAAAGCATCTGGGAGGATCAGGTGGAAGAGGCGATCCCAGAACACTTCAGCAAAGTGGAGGTGCACAAGTCCCTGATGGACCCCTGTGGAGTGCACCCTGGAGTTCTGAGGTAGCTGGCAGATAGAAGCCTTGTGAGGCCACTCCAAAAGGGAGGTATGCCTAAGAACTGGAAGAAAGCAAACCTGATGTGGGCTGTGCAGATGGAAAACCAGCTGCAAGGACAGTCCCAAAGCGTGGTGAGCCATGGCACCAAGTCTAACTGGAGGCCAGCAAAGAGCAGTAAACCCCAAGGCAAGGGGTAGTGCCATCTGATGAAGAGAGGTGGTCCTTCCACTGTGCTGTGTCCTGCTCCAGGCTCAGGCAGACCTGGCCATGCTGGAGAGAACCCCAAGTCCTGCACCCACCCATGGCCTCTCCCAATGTCTGCTGGACAAAAAAAGCCCCCAGTGCCAGAGATTAGAGCTGTGCTGGCCTGGAGCAGTGCTGGGAGGAGGCAGGATCTGGCTGAGCATCACTCCCTCAGCACTGGCAACAACTTCTGCTTCCATAACTGTCCCTGTCTGAGCACCGCTGTAATGGTGCACTCAAGACTGCTCCTGTCCAGGCAGGATGGGCCAGGCCAACAGCTGCTGTGGCTCCAGGGGGGGCTCTCATTGATGCTGAAGCAGTGCTGAGCACAGTCCCATGGCTGACCCAGGATCGCAAGAGGAGCAAGAGGTGCCTGCTCCTCCTCCAGGAGCAACTGATCATCGCCAAGGTGTGGTAAGACCCTCAGAGCCCAGCTACCTTTCCCCCAGCCCTGTCCCTGGGAGCACGGCAGGGACACCAGCACCCATCTCAAGAATGGGTCAGGGACAGGGCTCTGCCTCGGTGCACCCAAAGAAGGCCACCTCCAGCTCAGCGTCTGCCTCTCCTCCCTGCAGACATGGCACCAGCATGTGCCCAGAGCCACAGTAGCCATTGGCCTGGCCTATTCTGTGGGACAGGTGCAGCCTCGATTTTCATCCTTATTAGGATAAAAACACTTTCATCAGGGGCACTTCCTCCCTCAGAACAGCAGCTATCAGCAACATGTGTTGCATGTAAATATAGCATTATTTGTAAAAGCTGAGAAACACAGAATGCTTAAAATTTCATACAGAGATATAATGGTAATCTACTTTGTCACTTTAATTACTATATAGAGCCTTAAATATCAAGTGAAGTTAGGTAATAGTTAACTAAGTCAATTAGACATGAATCATACATTGTGGAGTTTTCTGGTGGCTGCTTGTGCTTTGTAAATCAAGATATCAGAAATCTAGTTAACAATATTTGACATAATAGTTATTTGCTGTTTATAAAGAGAAAATGAGGTTTATATGGACCATGCACTTTAAATGAATTCAAGACAAAAAAAACCTAACAAAAATTAGCAGAGGTGCTATAAATAAGCCAATGGATAAAAAGAAAAGAACATGCACAGGTTTTTTTCCCTCCTTTCTGAAGGAAGAAAACAACTACAGTGAGAAGCAAGATGCATCCCACTTATGACTTAGAGAATGTGGAATGAAACAGCAGGAAAAAACAGCTTTGTGAGAAAGGGATAGCAATCATCTTAAATGCATAAGTATTTGTATGTGTTCCCTACATTTTCTGGGTAATTGCTCATAGTGTAATAACATGTTCAAAATTCTATTCATCTTGCACTTGCATTTCATATGTTAAAAATTCATAAGTGAGAAGAATTTTATTGTTCTCCCTTAGTGGAGATGAAATCCAGAGGCTTACAAAAGTCAGGAATCTCAGTAGGAAAGAAGAAAAAAGATCATTTGGTTGTAATCTTTAAAACTAGAGTTATTCACTGAAGTCTCTTTATAAGACAAGCATCTAGAACACTTACATTCCATGAGAATATAATACAGTTGGTAGAAGACTGGAAGTTTTTCAAGAAAGAAAAAAAAAAAAGGTGCTGATGATACCTAACAAATAATCATGATTTTTATCTGGGATCATGTGATATTTGGTAGGGTGTTTTAGTCCTGGTTTTTTGTATTGCTCAAATACAAAAACTATCATCTTCTCTTGAGATACAGGCTGAAAATGTACCACCTATTGTAAAATCTCTCTTACTTAGCTTATACGTGAGATTGAGTGTATCAGTCTGTTCTGCATTTGATGAATGTTTTGGGGGCTCTTAGTGACAGTAAAATATCTCCCAAGGTCTTTCATGCTGAGTGGAAAAGGGAACCTGACTGCACTCCAGTTAAAGTCAGCTTGTTTCTTGTAGAAGGCATCATACATTGTATGCAAATAGAAAATTCTTCAATTCTGTGAGAAGCTAAAATACAAAGGCTGAAATGCGTTTGTGTGAGAAAGCCCTGAACAGGAACATCTGCACAACTTCACTGTTTCAAGTGAATTTTTGTGAGAGTTGGCTGCTGGTGCAGACTGAGGTTAGGGGAGCGGGATTTGAGACTGATCTGGGGGAGAGGGGTGGTATCTGTTTTCCTCACTGTAATAGGTATCTGAATCTGGAAGTTTACTTCTCAACAAATACCTGCTTTTTTTTATGTGATTTGAAAAGTATTGTTTGAAAACTTAAGTGTGCTATTCTTCTGTATGGAAGTTGAATCAGCTAGAGAACAGGAGCCTAAAGAAGTGACTTGTTTTGCCAAGGCTAATTCAGATAAAAGAAAAACACAATGCAGATCACTGTTACTAAGTGACCTGAGTTAGTCAGTTTGGTTCTATAACACAAGTGTAGTTAGTTTTGGTAATTACTGATGTTCTGACTGGTCAGGCAGCTATTTGCATCTGTTCATGAAGGATTATTTCTGACAGTGGCACATGCATTTATTAGGTTAGAATGAGCTTAAATCCTGTTCTTTCTTCCTGGGAGATGACTTAAATGCCTGCTTAAAACTAAGTCCATGTTTAGTATTTTTCATGAGTTAGGGATGTGTTTCTGAACTTGAAAATGAATTCCTTTGTGTGTTTGGGTTTTCGTTTGGGTTTTTTTGTTTGTTTGTTTTTGTCAGAAAACCAGGGCTACCTGTGTCCCATCAGGATTACCAGGATCTGATTCCTGACCATGAAAATCAGTGGAAATATTCACACTAACTGCAAGAAGATTTGGAGGAGGCTTCATAGTAAGAACAGGGTCATGGGATCATAAGTAATGAGATAAATAAATGCCCACATTTGATCAATCATAATGATAGCTTGCTCTGTATAGACTGAAACATTCTGCCTCCTTCAACTGCAGCTAAGACTGGTTAAACACTAGAAATTTTTAACTGTTTAATAAATATTGCCATTGTTACCTGAATAATTTATGAGTATGAATACTGCAAAAATATTGATTGAATTATATTCAGTGAAAAATGGCAATATTTACAGAATAATGTATTCACAGAATAGTGTTGACAAGGACCGCTTGCAATGCAGACACTAGAGTCTTGTTCTACTTGAGAAGAATGTTTTGAGAGAGATGGAAGAATTTAATCTATGTTCTTCCTCTATAGTGCCAAAACTACTAGTACTTGTAACTGTCTATCCAGAAAACAATTATTTTCGATCAATATGTTCAGATTTAATACTTTTAATAGTAATTGTATGTTCTTATATGCCATTTTTCATTCAGGAGTAAAAAATCCCTTAGAAAAACTAATCTCACCTCTGTGTCACAACAAGAGTCAAGAAGGGGTTAAAGCAAGGACGTCAATGCAGAGGGAGAACCATTATGGTCCAGGCTCTAACCGAACAATCAATACTCATTTTGAGTCCCCTAGATCCTGCACAGTTCATCCAGGAATACTCAGCTGATCACATGCTGTGATCCAGCAGTGTATTACCAAGTAAGGGTCATTTAGAAACTAAACAAAGAACTCTTCAAGTCTGAGGTTTGAATATTTCTAGGGAGGCCTTAATAGGTATGCAAGGCTTCAGAAGAAATTTTGAAGGTGTAGCAGATCTGACTGCAGTAATAAACACAGGGAACACAGAGAATTCCTTTTTCAAAGGAAGAGAACAGCAACTGAACTAGAATAAAATACACTAAACTAGCTTTTGACTAAAAGAGTGAAGATTAAAGGAAATGAAAACCATTAAAATCAAAAGAGTTTGGGGGGGAGTGTTGGGTTTTTTTGTTTTTTTTTTTTTGTTTGTTTAGGGATCATATCAATTGTATGAGTACTTCTTTGTGGTTTTTACACTTTTAAAGTTATTTCAGTATAGTTTCTAGCTTGGAGTGTGGATGTAAGCAAAATGACCCCTTTAAGCTGAACTGGAAGCCTTAGCTTGCTCAACACATGTATGTACTTATGTCTTTGCAAGGTTGACTTACTTCCTGATGATAATCATCAGGTTGAAAAAATCCTTTGAGACTTGTATCTCTCTATAACTGATTTGATATTTTAGATTTCTGTTGTTACAGGGGAGTTGGTTGAGTTACCTGTTTTAATATGGGTATAGTAATGAGATTTTTACCTCCACAAAATGATTGTATTATCAGCGCAGGTGGTTTGTTATTAGGTGACAGCTACAGCTTGTAGTAGCCATTATCTGTTGTGAGTTTTCCATGCCACATCACTCAAGTTAGGACTTCTGCATTTGGATAGTTGTTGTTCCCCCTGATTCTACATGAAAAAACCTATCTGCCTGGGTGTATCACTAGTCTGAAACAAAGTAAGGCAAAAAGAAGTTACCTCTTAAGAATTGTAGTTTTCTAGTAGGAGAGTTAAAATTCTGAAGAGTCATCAGTAAAAGTGGTAAGAGCCAGTTTGGATATTTTTCCCAAGCTTTGTTGTCTATTGGTTTTTAATGTAGGTTGGGTTTTTTTGACTGTCTCTCTGAAGTATAATGCTGGATCTGATTTAATGTACAACCGTTCTTTGTGGATTTTTAGAACATATTTAATATCATTTTACTTCGACAAAGCATAAGAAAAGCATTCCACTGCATATGTGGTTTTGAATGTTCGGTATTTTGCTGAAGTCCTATTTTCCTGATTCACTGCCACAGGTCTGGAACAACGTTTTCAATTCTAATGAAATAAGGAAATCACTGAAGAGAAAGTTTATGGCTGTAGTCTTGTTCTTGCAGACTAACAAGTTATTTTAATCATCAACCAAAGCACAGAAGCACCTGCTTGTTACTGCAGCCTTCTCCATCTTTGGGAGCAATGTTCAGTGATATTAAGGAACTTTATGATGAAATAATACCACCTAATGAGCTACAAGATAAGCAGGCATTTAAGATGAAGGCTAATATTGACAGAGACTGGAATTACTTTTCTCTTTTTCCTCTTCTGTTTGCTGAATTAGGGCTACACTGTGTCTGTCCATCTCTCTAGATTGAGCAATGTGCAGCTATGCTGCAGCAGTTGTAATTCAATGCCTGTTACCCCATTTTCCCAAGGGGAGTTAATTTGCTTGATCTTTTTACAAGCTGTAGCACACCTTCTCCTCTCTTAGGATAAGTCTTTTTCATCCCTTTGCTGATTCTTGTACCTGCTTGTTTGTCAGAATGTGTGTTCAGCCAAACAAACCCTAACATCTTGTCGCTCATCCCGTCATTATCTTTTTGAATGCTGCAGTAATACTCTATTGGTTTTGCTTTAAAGGCTAGAATTAGCAAGAATCTGGACTTTAATATGTAAGTAGTTAATGTCATAAAGAGATGACTAATTTGACTAATACATGGCCCACTTATGAGGTGAAAGGGAGCAGTAGTGACATTTTGTAGGAGAACATAGGCTAGAGTTTAGCCTTTAAACTGAGTGCAAAAAGGTTTAAGGTATTTTGTTTTCCTACTAGTGCTATCTTCTTGGCTTAGATGCATCACTTACTTTTATGGCCAAATGAGCTTAGACTCATGGCACAAGTCTCAAATTTTACATATGCATACTGAAGAATGATTTACAGCCATACATGGAAATTAAATAATTTACAGGTTCAAACCCAGCACTTTCAAAACTCAGTACTTTATCTACACTTCCTTAAATAGGTTTCCCTTGAAGTCCTTGTGCACACTGTGGTGGCCATGTAGCTTTGCAGCAGTTTCTAGGAGGTGAGTGGTCTGGCCCATACCAATTTGACTGCTTTAGGCTGAGATGAGGGTTGAAGATGTCTCTGTCATTTCTTCTTTGGGTGGTCTTAAAGCTACCGAAATTTTGGTAGAAGCAAGGACCTAGGTCTTCAACTCATCTACATCTGGATGACTGCCCTGATTTCAGTAAGGCCAACAAAATTGACAATCTCACTTCAAAATGCCAGACAACAGAAAAAGAAGTATAAAATTCAAGGGGGAGTGGTTTTAAACTGAAAGAGGATAGGTTCAGATGAGACATGAGGAAGAATTACTTCTGTATGAGGGTGGTGAGACACTGGAATAGTTTGCCCAGAGAAGCTGTGAGTCTGCAGAGGACTACTTCAGAACTAAAAACCTTTCTCCCAGTGCTCTTTACTGTTTTGTCAGAACAGGATTTTTGTATGCCATAAAATATGGATTCATGGATACAAAATTGTGCATGTTTTATTAGTGCCAGGTACGTAATATATTCCCCAAATTAGGTCAGTTCCCTTCATCAACATTCAGCTATTATTTCCATTCTGTCACATTTTTGAAGCATGAGGGAAGGATTTAAGCAAGAATTTCTTGTATTTTTAAATAGGAAATTATAAAGATACCAGGTAATTTATAGCAGCATAACTCTATTCTCTGGAAGTCTCTTAAAGGGAACCTCCATCACCCTTCCCTGAATGGGAAGAAAAGAATACCCTTGAAGTGATTGTTCCATTCAGAAAATGACTTGGTGGAATATATTGTTCTTATTTATAGAATAACTTTCATAATGCATTTTAAAAAGAAAATGAAAAATACATACTAAAGAGGAGTAATGCATTTTTCAGCCTGAGTGCAAAGTGTAGGAATGAGCTTTTGTGAGCAGAAAGTTGCACAGTGAGTAGGAAATGTAAGTACGTAAACAAAAATCCACTCTTACTCAACAAGTAAGACTAGAGACAGTATCAACCAGGCCTGCTGAAGTCACATTAGTAAAGTGCTTCAGTTGCTGCTGCCTCTGCAGCTTCTTATGCAGGCTTAGGTTTCTTCCTGTCCAGTTACTTCATGTGTTCTCCTGCTTAGATGCTGTATTGGGAATTGGTATGATACTCTGTTAAGAACTGTTCCATTCATAGCAACATGCTGGGTAATAGTTTGCACAGCCAGACGTTCCCTGTTGAACCCGAGTGATCCCAAGTGGCATCTCACGGAACCGTGTTTTATCTGTCCACATGAAGAAGTGATTTGTGTATGGCCAGGACCACAAGGAAGTGGCTTCTGTGTCAGTGATTCCCGTATTTCACTGTGGTTCCCTCTGGGCTTAAGTTACAGGAGCTGTGAACTGGCTTGGTGTTTTGCTAGGATCTTGACTTGGACTCCAGAGTCAATGAACAAATAGGGAGGTGAAGTGTGGTAGGATGATGGTGTATAATTCCTTGTATAAGCTCTGAAGATTGTGTTTATTGTATGTCAGAGTGCATATCCACTGTCCGTGACTCGTTTGTAGTTCCCATCATTTGCACATCTGCTCCATTGCTCCAACTGTAGCAAGACCATGTGCTGGTTGCTTTAGGTAAAGTGTCTTTGTATGTTGGACTCGGTGTCTGTAGCAAGCACAAGAGACACTTGATTTTCCTTACTGCATGTTTATTTTCATATTCCCTGTCATTATATTTTTTTATAAACAACCTTTCCAGGTAAAAGGAGATCGCCTGGGGAAACAGGGCAAGTAAATAAATAAAAAAACCTTCACAATCAAGGAATAGTTCTGTATAGTCTAGTAAAACAAAAACTTGGCTGGAATCCAGTGTATGTTACTATGAATGCACTTTCAGCTTGTTTCTTTATTCCAAGGAATCTAGAACATTTGCTTTTATTTTCATATGGTGAGAGAATAAATAAACCTCTGTTACCTTCTTCTGTGGTGACAGTGCAGGTGACCAAATTACTAGAATGCAGTTGCCTTCCTCTGCCAAAAGAAGTAAAAGGCTTTAATTATGTCTTCTTCCTTTTGTACTTTATTGGTGAATGATGACATTTATACTCAGGTTATTAATTCAAAATACAAGCTGATGGCAAGGAAAAGTTTCTTAAGGTAGGTCCCTTTTAGCATGTTTTGACTTACTTATCATAAAGATTAGCTGCCAGATGCAGTTTTAAGCCAACTCTTAGCACTACTGGAGGATATTTCTATGTAGGTCTGCCAATAAAAAAAGCCAAAAACTAGTTTTAGGCTGTTTGTTGCTTTGGCATTTCTGTGCTATCTAAAAGCTAACTGCAGTGCAAATATAAAAAGAATATTCATTATATTTCAGTAATTATAGGTAAATCTATTTGACGTGCAGTTAATATCACATAAGCAACAAATGCAGTTATATTTTCTAACACATCAAATTAATAACAAAAATCATGTGCATTTAAAGGGTATTTAAAAATAAAGCTAGATTTAATTGCAAATAACAGCAAAAAATATATTAACTGGTTAAGTGACATCAATGTGAAACAGGAAGGATTGGACAAGTCATGACACTGCTACAGAAATAAGGAACTTTCCTGACATGTCAGAATTCACAATTCAATGCTGATTTTGGTTGTAAATGTTGTGTA